GAGCCACCTCAGAAGGGACCTAGCTCAGAAGTGAGCCACCTCAGAAGTGAGCCACCTCAGAAGGGACCTAGCTCAGAAGGGACCGTTATGAAATGGCACTCCCTGGAGATGAAAACATTGCCTTTTGGGGACTCACATTCTGAGAATTTATTTGTGAACAAAGAAGCATTTTGTTTTTCTAGAATAGCACTCTACAGACTTTTTCCATCAAGGGCCAGATGGTAAATATTTTAGTCTTTGCAAGCCATACGCTCTCTGTGGCAGCTACTCAACTCTGCTGCGGAAGCACGGAAGTCACAGACAGGACAAAAGCGAACAAGTACGCCTGTGTTCCCATCAGACTCACACTTTATTTTGGGACATTAAAACTTAATTTTCACATTAGGAAATATTATTCTTTTGATTGTTTTCCACCATTTAAAAATGTAAAAGCCATTGTTAGCCTTTGGGCCACGCAAAAGCAAAAACAGGCAGTGGGTCAGATCTGCCTCACAGGCCATTGTCTGCTGAACCTGGCTCTAGAAGGATTTTTTGTTTTTGTTTTTGTTTGGAGATGGAGTCTCACTGTGTCACCAGGCTGGAGTGCAAAGCCTCGATCTCAGCTCACTGCAACCTCCGCCTCCCGGATTCAAGCGATTCCCCTGCCTCAGCCTCCTGAGTAGCTGGGACTACAGGCGTGCACCACCATGCCTGGCTAATTTTTTTGTATTTTAGTAGAGACGGAGTTTCACCACGTTGGCCAGAATGATCTCGATCTCCTGACCGCAGGTGATCCACCTGCCTCAGCCTCCCACAGTGTTGGGGTTACAGGCGTGAGCCACTGCTCCTGACCTAGGAGGATGTTTTCAGAAACAAATAGATGGTGGTCGGTGCCTGTAGTCCCAGCTACTCAGGAGGCTGTGGTGGGAAAATCGCTTGGCTCTGGGAGGTCGAGGCTGCAGTGAGCCATGATCGTACCACTGCATTCCAACCTGGACATGTCAAGAAAGAAAGAGAAAAAAAAGAGAGAAAGAAAGAGAGGAAGGAAGGAAGGAAGGAAGGAAGGAAGGAAGGAAGGAAGGA